CTCACCTCCCCAAGCCAGACAGCCGGGGACCACCCCAAGAGCACCCTCTCCTCACGGCAAGTCCAGTTCCTGGTTAAAACCCTTTGGGTTGGAGCCCAAACTCCTTGTCTGGAATCAACAGCTTGGCTCCAACAACCGCCCAAGACAAACCTCCACCCTCTGCTCATCCACCCTGCCCTCAAGTGACACTGCACATGTCACACCAGACACACCTGTGTGCCTCTACCCACTCTCTTCCCTCTGCCAGGAATACCCTTCTCTCAACTGCCCATGTCCAAAGCATCCCATCCCCATTTTACAGACAGGGAAACTGAGGCTCAGAGAGCTGACCCAATTTGTCTAGGGTTGTAGAGCTGGGAAGCGGTGGCATTGGGGTTCCGAAGGAGGATGGACTCAAACCAGCTCCTTTCACGGCTCCAACGTATCCAGGCTCTGCTGTGAGCCTCGGTTCCCCCAAGTGTAAAATGGGAAGAATGCAAGACTATGGGCTCTTCCTTCTCTGACTTTCCCTAATCAGGATTTCTTGATTTGGAGATGTTCGGAGGCCCTCTGGCGGTGACCTGGGGGTACTGAGCACGGCGGCCGAGCATCCCCCAGCCAGCCACTTGGTAGGGAATGCCTGGGCCAAGCTCTAGTCTGACTGGTTGACTATCACAAGTGGACAGACAAGGTCTCCTGCCCTCCTCCCTTAGCTGCTCCAGTTTCCATTCTGTATTAGTTTTCTGTAGCCATGCAGTGAAATATCACAAACTTAGCAGCTTAAACAATACCCATTTGTTAGCCTATAGTTCTGTAGGTCAGAAGTCTGACACAGCAGGGTTGGCTTGTCTGCTCAGGGAATCATAAGGCTGAAACACAGAACACAGAGGATTTTTAGGCCAGTGAAACTATTCTGAAAGATTCCACAATGATGGGTACAAGTCATACATTTGTCCAAACTCACAGAATGTACAATGCCAAAAATGAACCCTAATGTAAACTATCAACTTTGGGTGAGACAATGATGTGTCAGTGTAGGTTTATCAGTTACAACAAATCTACCATCTGTGGGGGAATCTTGATAGTGGAGGAGTCTGTGCATTGTGCGGGGATAGGAACTCTGTACTTTGTCCTCAATTTTGCTGCAAACCTAAAACTACTCCACAAAAATTAAGTCTATTTAAAAAAAAAAACCACTGGATTTTGAAGACTCAATTCAAAATAAAGAATGTAAAAATATCTCATTAATTTTATCAATTCATGAACACACGGTAATATTTTGGAAATCTGAGTCAAATAAAATAAAATATATTATTAACTTTAATGTCATCCCCCCCTTTTTTTAATGTGGCTACTAGAAAATTTTAATTGACTTCTGTGGCTTGTGACTTCTGTGTTTTTCTGTTGGACAGCACTGGTCTAAATCTTCAAAGTAACCCAATGACATAGGTGATTATCATCTCACTGATGGGAGAACTTACAGTAGCAGATGCTGCCAGTGTCCCCAGATCCCTTCACAGGGGTCACCTGCAGCTTCAGGGGACAGTCCCTGTGCAGGCTCAGAGTCCTCAAACACATGGATCTTTCTGCCTGAGGGGCAGACCAGAAGTACAGGGAGCTGGTGCTTCTGGAACCAGCCCTCAACCAGAGAGGGTGAGGATGGGTGGATAAACACCCCAGCTCCCTCACCCCAGTGAGGCGTGTTCTACACTAGCTCTCCGAGGGTCCCCAGTGGGATCCAGCCCCAGCTGTCCACAGAAGTAACCTGCTTTCCTCCTGTACCCTCTTCACTTCTTTACTCCCCCACCACCTTCCTCCCCTCCCAGTGAAATCACCTGCACCCAGATGGTCCTTTCAGGTCTGCTCTTGGCAGAGCCCAAACTAAGACACTAGACTACAGAGAGCTGGAAGACTCTCAGAGGTCGTATAAATAGGAAGAGACAGGCTGGCAATTTGATCCCAACAGCCTGACACCAGATCCCACATTCAAAAAACACGTCTTGCTGCCCCGTGCACCACAGCCATGACATTCCTTGGGCAGGAGGGTGAGACTCTCCCCTCAAATCTGCCCACTTTTGAGCTGACCCATGAGCAGAGCAGAAAGTCCTTCCCTAAGTTCAGATGATTTTGTCAAGAGGCTGAGTAGACCTGTCTCCCACAGACCTGGAACAGACCCAGCCTGGCCTGCCCAGAGCTGTCCCCTGGAACCAGTGCCTGCTTCCCAGCTGGAGGGAAGCCAGGACTGCCAGCCAGTGCCTTGAGGGCATTCATTTTTGGACCAAGAGGACACACTGGGATCTGAGACCCAGGGAAGCTGGGAGTGGCAGGGATCCAGGGAAAAACTTACCAAGTTTACTTATTTATTGAGCTTATATATGCTGGGCACTGTTTCAAATGTTCTCTGTGTGTGTGTGTGTGTGTGTGTGTGTGTGTGTGTGTGTGTGTGTGTGTGTATAATAAACGTATATTCCTCACAGCAACCCATTGAGGTATGCACTATTGTTGTCCGCATTTTATAGGTGAGGAAACTGAGGAACAGAGAGGGTAAGTAACTTGCCAAGGTCACACAGGTAATAAGTGTCACAGGTAGAATTCACACTCAGGCAGTCTGGCTCTTAACCATCCCTGCATCCTGCGTCTCCTGAAGCTTCAGGTGAGTCTACTGCCAGCTACTCATTCTGAGTTCTGCCACCAAGCGCCAGTTCTTTGGGGAGACAGGGATGAACTTCTGACCAATCTCCAGCTTTAGCTGAGACCCACATACAGGGAAGAGTTGGCAGGGGAAGGTGTCCCCAAGACTGGGAAGCAGTAAGCTCTAGAAGGAGGGACCGTAATCGCTGGAAAACAACACCCTTCCCTCTCTGCCCCCGTCTCCAGGGCCCCTCTGCCTTTCCACAGAAATGAATTAATCAGCACAGCCACTTGACCTCAGTGTAATTATTCATCCCCAGCCTCGTTCCCAAAATGATTTGAGAGGGCTTAAAAAAGATAAATGCACAGCATCTTCTACAAAGATACTCTGATAAATAACACCTGGTTTACTGCCTTAATGGCCTTGTCACTCACTGACACCTTGATGATGTGATACTGTTAGATCATTACACATAGGGTGACCAGCTCATCCTGGTTTTCTTAGAACCTTCTCAGGTTTAAAACTGAAAGTCCCTTGTTCTGGGAAACTCCTCAGAGACAGACAACAGGGACAGCTGGTCACCCTCATTACACACAATGCAGCCCACGAAGTTTACTTGCTAGAAGACTAAAAATTTAGCTCAGAGCTTCCTCAGAGCCAGGGCAAAGAGGGAAACACCATCCATTATGGGATTTTCAGTGTCTGTAATAGTCCTATCAAACAGAACTTTCCACCAGGATGGAAATGCTCTTCACTGTCCAATATAATTGTTACTAGGCACATGTTTCTACAGAGCATTTAAACTGTGGCTAGTGTGATAGAGGAATAGAATTTTAAATTTGATGTTATTTTAATCCATGTAAATGAAAATAGTTACACGCGGCTAGTGGCAACTGTACTGGACAGCACAGTTGTATTCGATAAAAACAAACCATGTGGTCGGGGAAAGCCTCTTTCTTAATAATGAGGCCTGAAACATTTCTACCACGAGTTAACACGCTGGAGACGAATACAAAGGGGGTTCCGCCGGGCACTTTTCTTACGTATGTAACCACAGCAGACCCTTCTATAGCATGTGCTCTGTGCCACGCACTCTCATAAAACCTTCTCATACATGAATTTATTCAATTCTCAAAGCCACACTAGAAGACAGACACTAAGACTTCTCTTTCCTGGCCTGAGAAGAAGCGTGTCTCCCTGCCCCTCCCAGGGACAGCCAAGCAGCCCGGGGAGTAGACAGAGGGATAGGAGGGAGGGCAGGAAAAGCAGGAAGAGGGAGGAAGCCAGGGAGAGGGGGCCCCCAGATACCCACCTCTCCCTACCCCCAGGCCAACGCTGCCTGCCTGATGGTGACTCATGGAAAGAGTGAGCTGTGCCTGGCATCACTCCCTGGCACCAGGGGACACTCAGGATGTCAGAAGGAAGACCCTGTTCCGCCAGGTGACAGAATGCACCTGCATGTCCTTTGACACAGAGCCTGGGCAGTGCCTCCTTCACATGTGCTCTGCATGGTCCCCTGACACCCCTCACCACGCTGCCCTTCCCAGCCTCAATGCCAGGATCTCTTGAGCCTACTGAGCCCCATGGGCTCTGCGCAGCAGAGGAGGGGCAGGCTTGAACCCCCCCGCCTCCATCTGTGACTGAGAAGCTGATGACTCCAGGGTCAGAAATAACCCCGCAGTCAGCTCCCTGTGTGCCACCCCTCCCCTCCCGTCCCTTCCCAGAAAGTCTGGGCCTTGAGTCAGAGGGAAGAGCCCGAAAGTAAACAAGGACCCAGATAATCTGCCGTGAATGCCACAGTGGAATTCTCTGATAAATCAGGGACCTAAAGAAGAATAGAGGCCTGGCAGGGGGTGGAGTGGGGGTGGGCAGAGTACAGCTCAGTGGTAGAGTGCGTGATGGTTCAATCCCCAGTACCTCCATCAAACAAACAAACAAACAAACAAATAAGCAAAACAAACCTAATTACCTCCCCCATCCAAAAAAAAAAAGAATGTAGGTCTAGAAACTCAGATGTCTTTCCCCCAAATCCAGCTGCACTCAGAGCTGAACACACCTGTGCTTCGGAGGACAGGAGGGATGGGGTGGATGGGGTGGATGGGGGGGGATGTCTTTAGTGCAGATGGAGTGTGGAAGGAGGGCTGGGCCTTGCTCTCAGAGGTACCCAGGCCAGGAGGGGCCCAGGTCCGCCTCAGGGGGCCTCCAGTCTCCTGGTAAGGTGGACACACATTGCAGGTCAGGAATAGTCAGAGGCCAGTAAGGAGTAGGGAGGTGGGGGCTCACAGGATCAGGGGTGGGGCTACGCAGGTGTCAGATGCCCCTCATCATTCACTCCCTCAAAATAGTCTGGGATGTCCGCACCCCACAACCCAGTGGCTGAGTCACTGACCTCCATCCTCAGACCAGACTCGGATGAATGAAGCTCTCCCCCTCACTCCGCTCCCCCTCCTCAGCAGAAAGGACATGTAACCGATGCCCCGGATAGACAAGTAACTTCTACAGGCCCTAAAAATAACTGAACCACTTCATACTCTGAACTTAGCCTCCCCTACCCGCCCCTACCTTGGCCCACCCCCTAGCCAGCCAGATAAAGGCAGCTGCCCGAGCTGGCAGGGGACAGAGACCCAGAGCCAGGGCAGCGAGAAAGCATCTGACAGAGTCAGCAGAGCAAGACTCGCCTCCAACAAGAGGAACGACAGACCCTTAGGCCAAACCTGCCACAGACCCCAAGCCCCCATCAGACAAGCAGGACCCTCAGGTCAGTAACCTGCCCCTGTGTCTCTCCATGGCAGGGCTGGCTCTCCAGGCGGGGATCCCCTCCGGACCCACTCGGGGTAGCGTGTTTTAGGGGAGGCTGACGGGGGGAATGGGGTACCGAGTATCTGGAGGCAGGGGAGTGGAGGGGCCTGATACAAAGATTCCACGAAAAGTTAAGGGAGAGTTACATGAGCCCCTGAGAGCTCTCAGAGTTGCTGCCACAGGCCTGAGGCCTGCAGAGGGACAGGTTCTAGCTGGCCTGGCATAATACAGAAAGGCTTTCAGGAAGAAGTGGCCTGGAGTTGTGACTTTTAAAATACAGGTATGGAGCTCCTCAGGCTCCAGGGCTTCTTCCCAGGGAAGCCCCAGCTAGGCCCAGTGTCTGGGAGAAAGTGGACAGAGGACCGGGGGAGGACGTGGGGGGTAGTAAGCAGGCCCGACTCTGCACTGCCAGGACAAGCCCCGTGCCCCGCTGTTGTGAGTGAAAGTCCTGGCATATCTGGCCCCAGGAATGTCCCCCCAGGGCTGGCCTGAGCCCAGCTCCCCACATACCATGGCCTTGGGCCTGCGATGGCATACAGACCACCGTCTTGCCTGGTGGGAAAGCCCTTGGGGAAGACCTGCGGGGCACAAGGTGGGGAGACTAGATCTGAGTCTGGTGGCTGGGCCAAGAACAAGCAGACCTGGAGGCAAAAGTGGGGGTCACCCTGAGAGGCTGGCCTAGCCCTAGGAGGACAAGCTCTGGGATACTCCTTAGGGCTCAGGCCCTTGCCCTAAGTCTGGTTCCAGTTCTGAATTCTGCCCTTGCCTTGCCCCTGTCCCTGCCCCTGAGAAACTGAAGCCCCAGGGGTGCCAGGCCAGGCAGGGGTGGGGTGGGAAGGGCTTGCCACTGCTTGGCAGAGTCTCCTGGGTCAGCTCCTTCCCCTCTTGGGGCCTGTTTCCCCATCTGAACCCTGAGGGGGTTGGGCTCAGCGATCTCGGAGGGTCCTCAGGGCTGCCATCCCTGGACTCCGTGACTCTGATGATTTGTGACCATAGCAGGGATTCTGGAGATTCCTGGGGGCGGGGGTGGGGTGGAGCTGGTGGCCTGTACATGCCATCTGCTCAGGCCACACTGGTGACAGGACAGGAAGGACATGGGGACAGTCAAAGTTTGCCTTTGGCAGGGGGCCCTCAACAGAACCTGGAAACTCAAGGAACCACCTAGAACTTGTGATGAGACTCAGGCTGCTGGCTTTAGAGTTCACACTCCTTGGGGCTCTGATGCCTTTGGTGGCCATGCTGGGGTGGAGCTGGGGCAAGCAGGGCTCAGTTTCCCCCTCTTCTGAGGTAGCCATGAGGAGGAAGGCCTTCCCCGACCCCCAGGTCCCTTCGGCCAGGGGAGGGTTCTTCCGGCAGGTCAGGGGCCCGACACCAGCTCAGGAGGCAGGGGGCAGGATCACAGAGTCTGGGTCAGAGAAGATGAGGTGGGTAGGGCGCCCAGGGTCCCATCGGCTGAGCCTGACCTCCCTCCCGAGCCCAGAGCTGCTGTGCTGAGGCCAGGACCTCGGCTATATTTAGCACTGAGTGTGGAGCAGAGCAGTGGGTCAGGGGCAGCAAGAGTGGAGGACATGCTTCTCATTCTTTCCCTACTGGCCTCTGGGGACTGTTATACACCTGTCACAAGACAGATAAGACACAGAAGACAGAGACCAGAGAAGGGCTTGAGCAGAGGGAGGCCATGGGGTGGGGGGAAGCAGTGCTTTCGTGGAAGCTGGACACAGAGGGAGGAAAAAGAGGGGCGCAGGAGACTGGCCAGCTGCACACAGTTGGGGATGAGGCTCCCTGAGCAAGGGGGTGGGGCCATCCCTGAAGGAAGGCCCTCGGTCCCACTGCCTCCCCTCCTTGTAGGTGTCACCCTCACACCTTCTTGGGGTGCCTGCTGGGGAACAGACGGACACCACAGCTACTCAGAAAGCATCACACTCCCTACCTATAATGTGTAGGAACCCCGAGCCAGCACTGCCTGCCGCTCATTCACCAAGATCTGACTCTGGGCCTCAGTTTCCTCATCTTTTTTTTTTAATTGAAGTTAATTACAATGTGTCAGTCTCTGGTGGTGTCCTCATCTTTTTTTTAATATATATATATAAACATTTTTTATTTCCTCATCTTTAATTAAGAGTGGTCAGGCCAGAAGAAACTTGAGGTGCCTCTAGCTCAGATCTTCTGAGTCTTGGCACAGAAAACTCCTACCTAGAATTCGGAATCAGGCTCTGCCTAACCAGGAGATACCTGGTGAACAGCTGGCCCTCCCTCAGACTTGACTGCTTCCGCTATAGCACGGGTTGCTGGCCCCTGCTTTGCCTCCCTGGGTTGGAGGGTGAATGGAGAGCCAGGAACTAAAGGCTGGGCAGGTTCCCGGGTGAAAGTGACAAGCACGCCCTCTGGTGTTAAGAAAGGAATTTCCTCTCCATGGGAAATAGTCACCAGTCTAGGGACCCACCTGTCCCTGGCTGGAGATCCCTTAAGTCAGAATTCCCCCAGGCCACTCTCCTGGGAGTCTGCCAGGGAAAAACTGATTTTAGCAAAGGCAGGTAAGGATGGGGCATATCTAGCTTGCCCACTGGAGGTTTGGGCATCCCTTGTGGGACTGAAGGACAGAGCTTCAGACAGCAGTATCCTGCTTGCTCCCTAGCAACCCAGGTGATTCTGGGGAAGTAGGGACCAGCTTGATGGATGACTCCATATGCCCTAAGTTCAAGACTTGTCACACATCAACCATGCTGGTGGCAGGGTGAGACCCAGGTGAGGTCTGGAAAGGGAGGAGGTCTCTAAGCACATGCCCCTGGGCCCTGCCTCCTGCCATTTCTCCCAGCAAACAGCCCCCATCTCACCTAAGGCCCCCAGCCCCATCCTCATCTCTGCCCCCTCTCCTCAGAAGGATGGCCGACGCCCAGACACAGGTGGCCCCCACATCAACCGTCCCAGTGGCAACTGCAGAGGACCTGCCCCTCCCTCCACCACCTGCCCTGGAGGATCGGCCAACCCCACCACCCAAAGAGTCTTTCTCCAAGTTCCACCAGCAGCGGCAAGCTAGCGAGCTCCGCCGCCTCTACAAGCACATCCACCCTGAGCTCCGCAAGAATCTGGCAGAGGCTGTGGCTGAAGACCTGGCTGAAGTCCTGGGTTCTGAGGAGCCCACCGAGGGTGACGTCCAGTGCATGCGTTGGATCTTTGAGAACTGGCGGCTGGATGCCATTGGGGACCATGAGAAGCCACCTGCCAAGGAGCCCGTGCCTGGAGGCAGTGTGCAGGCCACCTCCCGGAAGTTTGAGGAAGGCTCCTTTGCCAACAGTATAGACCAGGAGCCAGCCGGACCCCGGCCATCCAGAGGGGATGTTAGTGCAGCCCGCTGGCTGTTTGAGACAAAGCCTCTGGATGAGCTGACAGGCCAGGCCAAGACAGCGGAGGCTACAGTGAGGGAGCCTGCAGCCAGCGGAGATGTCCAGGGTACCAGGATGCTCTTTGAAACACGACCGCTAGACCGCCTGGGCTCCCGCCCCTCTACCCAGGAGCAGAGCCCCTTGGAGCTGCGTTCGGAGATCCAGGAGCTGAAGGGCGATGTGAAAAAGACTGTGAAGCTGTTTCAAACGGAGCCACTGTGTGCCATCCAGGATGCAGAGGGCACCATCCATGAGGTCAAGGCCGCCTGCCGGGAGGAGATCCAAAGCAATGCGGTGAGGTCTGCCCGTTGGCTCTTCGAGACCCAACCTCTGGATGCCATCAACCGGGATCCTAGCCAGGTGCGGGTGATCCGAGGGATCTCCCTGGAGGAGGCTGCCCGGCCCGATGTCAGCGCTACTCGCTGGATCTTTGAGACACAGCCCCTGGATGCCATCCGGGAGATCTTGGTGGATGAGAAGGACTTCCAGCCATCCCCAGACCTTATCCCTCCTGGCCCAGATGTACAGCAGCAGCGGCATCTGTTTGAGACTCGAGCATTAGACACTCTAAAGGGGGAAGAAGAGTCTGGAGCAGAGCCCCCACCCAAAGAGGAAGTGGTTCCTGGTGATGTCCGCTCCACCCTATGGCTATTTGAGACAAAGCCCCTGGACACACTCAGAGACAAAGTCCAAGTGGGTCACTTGCAGCGGGTGGGTTCCCCAGAGGGTGAGGGGTTCATGTATGAATGTCTACCCAGTGATAGCTCCTCAGCACTGTCCCTCTCTCAGAGTGCCCCCCAGAAGGATGGGGTGAAGGGAGACGTGAAGACCTTCAAGAACCTTTTTGAGACCCTTCCCCTGGACAGCATTGGGCAGGGTGAAGCTTTGGCCCACGGGAATGTAAGCAGAGCAGAAGGAACTGATTCTGCCAGGCAGTCTCAGGACACAGGATCCCCAGTGTACGCCATGCAGGATGGCAAAGGCCACCTCCATGCCCTGACTTCTGTCAGCAGAGAGCAGGTAGTCGGAGGTGATGTGCAGGGCTACAGGTGGATGTTTGAGACACAGCCCCTGGACCAACTAGGAAGAAGCCCCAGTACTGTTGACGTGGTACGTGGCATCACCCGACAAGAAGTAGTGGCTGGAGATGTGGGCACTGCTCGGTGGCTCTTTGAGACCCAGCCCCTGGAGGTAATCCACCAACGGGAGCAGCAGGAACGGCGGGAAGAAGAAGGAAAGCCTCAGGGAGGCCCTCAGCCTGATGCACCCCCCAAGGGTGATGTGCAGACCATCCGATGGTTGTTTGAGACATGCCCGATGAGTGAGTTGGCCGAGAAGCAGGGGTCAGAGGTCACAGATCCCACAACGAGGGCCAAGGCACAGTCCTGCACCTGGATGTTCACACCCCAAACCCTGGACAGGCCAGAAGGCTCCAGGGAGCAGCACCTTCAGGTTAGCCAGGTCCAGATGGGGGAAGGACAGACAGACAGGCATGTCTTTGAGACTGAGCCTCTGCAGGCCTCAGGCCGTCCCTGTGGAAGAGGGCTTGTCCGCTACTGCAGCAGAGTGGACATCCCTTCAGGGCAGGTGTCTCGTCAGAAGGAGGTTTTCCAGGCCCTGGAGGCAGGCAAGAGAGAAGATCAGGGGTCCAGGGTAATCCCTGAGCCCATCCCAGCGGGCTCTGTGCACAAGTTCACCTGGCTCTTTGAGAACTGCCCCATGGGATCCCTGGCAGCTGAAAGCATCCGAGGCGGCAACCTCCAGGAAGAGCAGCCCATGGGCTCCTCAGGTGACGGGGCGCTGGAGAGGCAGGAGACTGCAGCTGAGGGGACCCTGCGGACTCTGCACGCCACGCCTGGTATCCTGCACCACGGAGGCATCCTCATGGAGGCCCGAGGGCCAGGGGAACTCTGCCTCGCCAAGTACGTGCTCCCAGGCCCAGGGCAGGGGGGCCCCCATGTACGGAAGGAGGAGCTGGTGTCTGGAGAGCTTCCCAGGATCGTCCGCCAAGTGCTGCGCAGGCCAGATGTGGACCAGCAAGGGCTGCTGGTGCAGGAGGACCCAGTGGGCCAGCTTCGACTCAAGCCACTGAAGCTGCCAGCACCAGGCAGCAACGGGAATGTGGAAGACATGGATCCTGAGTTCCAGCAGTTGCTGGCTTGTGGCCTTGGGACCTCGGTGGCAAGGACAGGGCTACTGATGCAGGAGACAGAGCAGGGCCTGGTTGCACTGACAGCCTACTCCCTGCAGCCCCGGTTAACCAGCAGGGTCCCCGAGAGGAGCAGTGTGCAGCTGCTGGCCAGCTGCATAGACAAAGGAGACCTCAGTAGCCTGCACAGCCTGCGGTGGGAGCCACCAGCTGACTCAAATCCAGTGCTGGCCAGTGAAGGTACCCAGAGGCTGCCCCTGACTGAGAGCATCATCCATGTTCCCCCACTGGACACAAACATGGGAATGGGGCATCTGAGAGGGCCAGGGGTCACCCCCTGTCCCCCACAGGCCACTAAGGCAGTCCCTCAGGCTGGGGAAGAAAAGCAGGAAAGGAGGTGCACTGGGCAGAAAGGCATGGAAGCTTTGGGAAAGTTGAACGGAGCCACGACTATGCCCCCAGAGACCAGGGCCCCAGACCTCCAGGCCGCCATGCAGAGTCTGAAGACAGCAACAACTGAAGCCCAAAGCCTGCACCAGCAAGTTCAGAGCAAGAACAAGCAGGGCTCCGCCCTTGGAGCCGCCTCTATGCCCTTCCAGGGTGGGTTTCTGCAAGCACCGGCCATGGCCATTGGGACTGCCCAGAACAACATCAGGCCTCTGGCTGGAGGTGACCCCAGGATCCCAGCAGCCCCCAGAAAGGTCAGTGGGGAACAGAAAGCACTGCCTAGAGGGCTGTCTGGGGGGTGGGTAACTATTCAGGATGGCATCTACACTGCTCACCCCGTGAGGACCTCTGACCCACCCGGGGGTATCCGGGCTTCTGAGAGAGAACCCCTGCCAAGGAGCAGGGAGTCTGCCCCCTCAGCTCAGGCTCTCAGCCCACTCCCGGAAGACCCAGGTCAGGGTCTTGGGCCTGGGCAAGAGGAGCCTGGGAGCCACACACAGAAGGCCTGGGGGCCTCCAGAGAAGGTGATGGCAGGACTTGGCCCAGGGGGCCTCCAAGCTGCAGAGAACACCCTGAAGGCTGCCCCTTTAGCCCACCACACTCTGGCCTCTGGGCCTCAGGCTGCAGGTGCCAACCTGCATTCCCATAATGCTTCTGTTCCTCCTCCTCCTCCTCTCCCAGCTGCTGTGACAGGACCTGATTTCCCAGCACAAGGCGGCCATGATGAGGACACCACCCACCAGGCCTCCAAGCCCCAGCAGGACCCTCTTCTCCACTCCCACAGCAGCCCTGCTGGCCAAAGAAGTCCTGGGGAATCACAGGCAAAGACCCTGAAACTGGAGCCTACCACACCCCCAAGGAAGAAGCCCCAGCTGCCCCCTAAACCTGCACACCTAAGCCAGATCCCCCTTCCTCACTGGTTATCCAAGCCCTCAGCCCTCTCTCCCAGCTCCTCTAAGGAAGTTGGACAAGGAAAACACAAACAAGGTGAAGCTGGTACAGCCAACCATAATCCTCAGCCAACCAAAGTCCCCACCATTGCAGGCCAGGGCCCAGTATCTCTGGCTGGATGCTCCACTGGACAGAGCCATCCCAGCCCTCAACATGGCCCTAGAACTATGGCTTCCAGGCCCACCAAGAGTCAGGCTGCAGGCAGCAGTGACCAGAGCCCCAAGCCCCACAAGCTCTTAGCTCTCAGCAGTGACCTCACCTCACTGCAACAGGGCCCCAGCTTCCCAGAAGAGAAGTGCATGGATGGTTCCCAGCAAGGGGCCCCTGAGAGTCCCAAGATTCTGCAGGGAAGCCAGCAAGAGCTCCAGGGCCTCCTGAGCCAGGTGCAGGCCCTGGAGAAGGAGGCTGAAAGCACTGTGGACGTGCAGGCGCTGAGAAGGCTCTTTGAGGCTGTGCCCCAGCTGAGAAGGGCCCCCCAGGCTCCTGCTGTCCCCCGCAAGCCTGAGGTCTCAGTGGAGCAGGCCTTTGGGGAGCTGACAAAAGTCAGCACAGAGGTTGCCCGGCTGAAGGAACAGACCCTAGCCAGGCTGATGGACATTGAGGAGGCTGTGCACAAGGCCCTCAGCTCCATGTCTAGCCTCCAGCCAGGGGCTAACACTAGGGGTCATTCCCAGGTGACCCCAAAGGACCACGGTGCCCGCAAGATCAGTGTTACAGATAGCAGTAGAGACAAACCTAACTATACAGGCCAGGAGATTAGGGTTCAAACTGCAGTCAAGAGCCAAAAGGAGGTGACATGCCATTCTGAGGTCCAGCATCAAGCCAAGGTCAGAAATCACACAGAAGCCAGAAGTCAAGCTGCCCTGACCACCTCTCGCACCAGAAGTCTGGAGACACTGAGAGAAGATTCCGGCCTCCCTCGAGTGTTACCTCCCAGCAGAGATTCACCCTCCTCCCCAAGCTTCATTTCCATCCAGTCAGCCACAAGGAAGCTTCCAGAAGCTCCCAGCCCCAGAGGCAGCCCTGAAATCTCAGTGAAAAGTGCACACCTCACCCAGGCTGTGGGCCAGGCTCAACTTTACCAGAAGGGTGTCCAGGACAAGGCTGGGAAAAAGGTCACCCAGTGCTCTGGACAGCCCGAGCCTGCCCCTACCTCAGCCAGCTCCCTGCCCACCAGGCGGCAGAAGAGTGTTCTGGAGCTGCAGGCCAGGCCGGGAGGCTCCCAGGGCCACGGAGCCACAAGAACGGTGACTGAACAGTACGAGAGTGTGGACCAGTGCGGGAACACGGCGCTCACATCACCCACCATGGTCACCGAGCCGGCAGAGTCCCTGAGGGGCCCAGGCCCCCACCCCGGACTCCATGCCTCCCCCTTGATGCGACAGTTCCTGCGCAGCCCCGCCGGGCTCGCCCGCGGCCTGGCAGAAGCCGGGATG